GCAAAAAGTGTTCTGGAAAATCCCATTAAAGCACCAAGCGTGGGCTGCGCGCACATGGCTGCTCCGTTCCTGGCGCTGGCCCCGCTCCCAGCCCCGCACGGACCCGCAGGGTCCTGCTCCACCCTGCTCCTGCTCCTGCTCCTGGGCAGCTGCATCTCCCTGCTCTGCCTGCTCCACTGCTGCCAGCCTGCTCACCACCCAGATTTTTCCCATTCCCAGCTTCCAACCACAGCAGCACCTCCATCTTTGCAGGCCATCGTTCCCCACCTCACAGGTGCCCCAGGCTTGGCTTTGTGATTGCGGTTGTCATCTGTTGGTTTGAGGACATCTAGCCAGATGGACTAGGCTGATTGACACAGATGGAGAATCAGATTTTAAACCCCTAAGCTCCCCTCAAATCATTCAAATGCTTCCAGAAAAATGGAATGACTGTGCAGTCCTGTAGATGTGTCTGTATTTACATGTTTCCCAAGCATGAAAAGCCCTCTTTGATGTCCAGAACATCTCGTGGGTTTCAGCTATAAGCAAGCTGGATAAACACTGACCAAGATGAAATTTATCTGCATCAAGGACTGCTCCGTCTCAGCCCAACTCCTGCTGGTCCTCCCAAACCCCACAGGTAACTGGAGAAGGTCTCCAGCAATGAACCCAGCCAGAAGCAGCATCCAGGGTGTAGGCAATGGAAAATGAGATGTTTCTAAGTTTGGCCAGGCTTAGCTGGCTCCTCACAGGTCCCAGCCTGTGAATCACGGGTACGTGGGCCACCAGCACGGCCTCCTCTCTGGAGGAAGGAGTGGAGGTGGAAAAATAACAAGAGGAAACCAGTTGTTAGTAGTGCCAGCTCCGGGGAGAGTGGGAGGAGGTGGCAGTCCTGGAGAGAAAGGTCAGGGCTGCATTGCAGGCTGCTGCCTGATTTTTCCTTGTGCCTTCATGGTAGGAAGCTAGCTTACAGCTTGTGTGATATGTGTGGAGGGGCTGGGCTGATCTGAGGGGAGAATGAAAGCCTCCAACAGCAGCCAGGGGTGATGAAGGATTTGTTTCTGGTCCCTGCTCACTCATCTCCTCTGATTTCTACTGAGCTGAACCTGAGTACCCTGTTAAAAGCAAATGTTGGCCCTTTGCAAACACTGTAAAAGAAGATGCACTTTTCAGATGTACTGGGAACAAACACATCCAAAAATAAAATGAAAGATTGCAGATCTTCAGCCTCTTCTGGTGCCTCAGCTCTCCTAACTGGTGCAAACTGGAACGCACCAGTGGAGGATAGAAACCTCAGCTACTGTTCCCATGTCCCTGCCATCAGACCAGGAGCACTTGCAAGGCTGTGCCATGACAGCTCCCCTTCCCATAGGGGTACGTGCAGCTATGGATCAGCACTTCAGCTCTCCACTGCCTTGCAAGAATTCCTCTTCTCCCGAACCCTCCCATCTGACAATTGCCACCAGCTGCCAGTGATTTTTCTCACCTCCTATCCTAAGGGCTCAGAGACAGCTGTCTCTCTGCTGGTAGACTGGCACTTTCCATCAATAAAATTATTTCTTTATGCCTTCAAGGAAATTATGTCAGGGGAAAAAAAGGCACAGCCAGGTAGGATGCCAGGTCAAGGGGGAAACTGCTGTGTGAAACTTGCTGTTACTCGCTGGTGATGCCCCTTCTCCCTTAGCGGGACTAATTCTCCCACTTTGAGCCAGAGTGGGATCTGTTATGCTCAGGCTCCCTCTAGTGCCTCCATGCCCGTTGTTCCTGGCTTCTCTGGAGGCGCATTTGTCCCCGGGACTGTCCATCGATCGCCCTTGCTGCCCTCCAGCATCGCTCGGCTTTACAGCACAGCCGAGCCCTGTTTGCTCACAGGCTGGGAACAGCCCTAAAATCGCCCCAAAGACACCGGCACCTGCCAGAGCAGGTGGGGACCTGCCAGACAGCCCAGTCCTGGCTGTGCTTGCTGGGGTGAAGGAGGGTGATGAAGGTGGCCATACCCCACAGGACGCTCTCCCTGACAAGGCACAGCCCTGCATGCTGCAGCTGCACCTCGGTGGTGTCTGCAGAGTGAGGTTGGAATGGGTGGGATGGCTGAAGTGCCTGAGCTGCCCTGGGAGCAACCCAGGGGTGGGAATCTTCCATGTGAGCCATCAGGGTTAGCCAAAAGCATCCCTGTACTCTCCCCCCTGCTTGATACTTCCCCACGAGGGTTCAGTTTGAAGGGGTGCCACAGTCTGTGCCAAACAAAGTCAGCTTAGACTGATCAACACCTGAAGTGCTTCTCACTGGTTTGGGGTTCAGGGCACTGGGGAGCTGTGCTGTCATACTGTATCCAGCATCCTACATGAACATGGCCTTTCCTTGTCTTCTTCCTGTGGAAATGGGGAGGAAATTTCTTCATGTTTTGGGAAATGACCAGACCCAGCCTCTGTTCAAGGCCTTGTAAAACTCAGCCTGGCTCAGCTCTGGCACTGGCACCGTGCTGGACAATGGACAGTCCCTGGCATCACTAAATGGGGGCAGCCACAGTAATTCTTTACCCCAAGTCAGTCACCTCACAGGGAGGGAGGAGGCAAGTTAGGGGAGGCTGCTGAAATGTGGTGTCAGCATGAAAACCATGACAAACCTGACAGAGATCAATCAGCACAAGTGTGCATGATGCAAGGACAGTAACTGAGATACAGTTGTCAAAGGCACTGTGAGATTTTTATGTTACGATTTTTTCATAATTGTTTTGCAGCTGGAGCAATTACCATCCTATTTAATGAGCACAGCTCCTTTAGTAGAGGACACTTGGGCTAACATGCACTAATTAAGTCTGTAATCACTAGAAACATGACTAAAGGTTTTGAACTGGCCAATTGTTCTCAGTAACACCATAATTAGAGGCACAGCAGCTCATCATGGCACGGGAGAAATTCAAGGGGGCTTGATCACCCTGCAGTGTACACAGGTCCTGATCCTGCCTTGCATCATCCTTTACACCTTGTACTCTGCACTGGTTTGCAGTGATTTATAAACTACCCTGAATATGTTACACTCAGCCCCACGAACTGAATGTTCTTCAACAGTTTTATTTTAATAATTTGGCTTATGGATCTTGTAATCACCTGAGCATTAAGCACAGCTTCTCTAATCCCCACCTGTCTGACTGCTCATCTGAGTGGCCCCAGCAGCAGCTGGCAAAGACTCCCAGGGGCCTCCAAAAGCAATAATTGCTGCAAGACCCTGAAAAAACTTGGAAAAGGTAGATAGAACCCTAAAGTAAACCCTTCTGTTTCTTCCTATGGAGGAAGGCTCAGAAATTAGTTCAGAAGAACAAGAGTTTTCATAATCTAATGGCCAAACTAAGGGGGCTGGCCTTTCTGCCTTGCAATGCAGTGGAGGCAAACACCTCTGGGATTTAGTTCTGTCTTCCACTGATCTTGGCTCTTTTTGTTATCATGAAAATCAGAGTTTCTCTCTACTGTTGGCTGCAATTAGCTGGCCACAGTGATGTACAAATATTTTAAGACTGCAGCTCACTACAGTGGAAGGAATTTTAAAAAACAACAGTTTAAAAAGTCAGATGTTTGCATATCAAGGAGGATTTTGGGCAGACCTTCATATTCCAGCTGCAAAATGCCAATAAAATAATATTTCCATTTTCATTTATTTTTACACAACAGCTGCCCAGAATGGGGATGGGGCTGGGAAATGAAACCAAATACACTTTACATCTTAAGTCTTGTTCAAAATAAGATAAATACTGAAATTAAATTGCCTTAGCTTACTTTTTCCTGCCTATTTTCATTTCACTCTCATCAGCATTGCCCAGCTACCAAGGATCATCTATTTTTCCCTGTTTTTATAATAGGAAGAGCTTGTCTATAGGTATCTGAATTTGAAGCAGAGTAGCAATTGCTCTGCAAGCAATCAGCCACTGAAAAAATGTCCAGTTCCCTCTCTGTACTGGACATGGGGCTTTTGGTCTCTAGGCTGTTTTTTTCAGTCTGGGTTACTTTAAGCAATTCACTTGTGCCCCTCATTGTAAATTAAAGGCAATGCCATAAAAAGATGGCAGTATGTTCCCACAATGCAGAAGAGCCTGGGCCTTTTCTGCTCGTTTTTCAGAGGTTCCCATTTGAAATCCTAGCAGTTGTGGCCAGAAATGCTGCAATTGGTGAACAGATACAACCCAAGGGGCTTGGGCAAGCTTGGCCTTATTCCTGTGACACTTCACCATGGGAGATACCTCAATCCATGACCAAGGAAAGACCAAGGAAAGACAAATCCCATCTTTCCTTGAACACCTCCAGGGACAGTGCTCCACCACCACTCTGGACAAACCATTGCAATGTCTGCTCTTTCCAGGAGGAAATTTTCCCATCGCAGTCATCATTTCCGTGTCTTTCACACACTAAAATGCCCAAGTCTCAGTCTGTATCTTTTGTGGGAGTGCAACTTTGACCTCACAGCACGGCCAGCGTGGTCAGAACACAGCACAAACCCCTGCACTGTCTTTGCTGGGCATGGGGGGTTTTGGGGTCACCGAGGTGGCACAGCCAAAGCTGCCAATTGTCTGAAAGCAAACAGAGCGCTTCGAGCCTCCGGTGCTTCATACAAAAAGAGATGAACGGCATTGAATGAACCCGCCCTGAGGAGCATCGTCAGTGCGTGCTGACCTGCCCGAGCGCGGAGGAACGCGCACATAAACCCCGTGGATTCTGGTGGGGCCGAGGGCCTCAGGCTCCCGCAGCGGCCGGGCAGGGCCAGCACAGGGCGGCCTCGGCTCCCTCGCCCCGGCCGGCAGAGGCCATGGTCCGGGCACGTTAGTGGGGGGACCGTGTT